TCCTTAATGAATGCATGGAATACCATATATATATATATGGTATTCCATATATGGCATTCCACTGTCATATATATATTATTATACGTGTGTGTGTGTGTGGGTGACAGTGTGTCCTATCATTAAAATTGTTTTAGAAAAGAAAAACTGATACTAATTTATACATTTTCCGTGCTTTATGTGAACTGTTTCTCATGTCTTATCACCTTTCTATAATTAAACACCAAGGATGGACTTGTTCCCCACCTATTAAGCATTTAAGTCAATTGAACATCTAAGAACAATACCTTCTTGAGTCACTGAATAAAACATTTCAGCCTTCAAAAAATAAAGCCTTCAACTTAGCGTAAAAATTAAGCTACAGGAAGCAGCAAGGAAGACTGCCGCCTACATTTTCCATTAGTGTTTTTTATGGCTTTGAGCAGGGTGGAATAGGATTGCATTTAGACACCTAAGTGCCACTTAGATCCTTAATAGGTGGAAGAGGATCTGACCCTGAGTACTTATGACTGTGTTTTGTAAAAGTATAAATGTTAAAAGGCAATTTTCTTTCACCGTTGTGATGACTACTGTGTAGAGCGAAGCACTGGAGAGGTGTATTTTTGACAAAAAAGGATCTCTCTCAGTGTTCTATAGTTTGATAGAACATAATAATAAATTGAAATATAATTTAATTATTGACTTTCATGGTGATTCTTTACTGCAAAACGTTTGATAGACACTTCATATAATTTAGCTACAAGAAAATGATTCACAAACTTTAAATGTGAGGACAAGAAGTTTGAAATTGGTGGGACAAAGCAGGGGGAGCTATCCCTGGGATTAGAAAGGGAGAGATGTGGTCAGGATCACCACAGGGAAGATTATTTTTTAGCTATGTCTCATGTTACATTTAGTGTACGTTAAATACACTTAAAACATGAGTGACCCACATGTTTAAGCAGTAAAACACATACTAAGCGTACTCATATCATAGCAAAGTTATGACTTTTCATGCAAGGAGCATCTCCAAATCGTATTAAGCAACCTGTGTTTCAGCTATCATCAGTCAGCTCCATGGAGATAATATGAGCAATTTGTGGTCCTCAGCCAGCCATAATATCTGTAAGGGACCCCTCTGCTCTACCAGACTTCTAGGTAGGATAAGGAAAACCACACATAGTGGATCTGGTGGTGGTCTATAAACTCACCGGGGGGACCAGCAGAAAATAGGTGAGGCTCTATTCCCCCAGGCACCACCTGGGATAAGAAGGAATAACGGTCACAAATTGATTGAGAGCATGTTCAGGCTTGATATCAGGAGGCATTACTTTATGGTTAGGGCTGCCAGGCTCTGGAATGGGCTCCCAGGGGAAGTGGTGCTCTCCCTTACCTTGGGGGTCTTCAAGAGGAGGTTGGATTAGATATATGGCTGGGGTATTATGATCCCAGCAGTCATTCCTGCCCAGGGCAGGGAGTCAGACTTGATGATCTGTTCAGATTCCTTCCAACCCTAGAAACCATGAAACATATGGGGAGGAAGGATTCTGGATCTTTCACATGTCAGATTCCTCCAGGATCAGGTTGAAAGCTAGGTGCCTTCAGCCCCTGAAGGTCCCAGGCCTGGCACTGGCAATTGCTGATTGGTGGTCCAAGCTGCGGCACTGCACCAGAGCTAGTTTAATCCTCTGATGTGCTGCCAGGGCTGGGACTGACAATTGGCAAGCTGTGCATAGTAGAGATTATGGTAAATGATACCCTGAGCCTGCCCAAAACATGTTCTAACTTTAATAGTATACAGATTTAACACATACAAAGTGTCCTGTGCTAGAAGGTTTCTGGGTATGAACTGGGGGTGGGTGTCAGGAGGCCAGAAGAGATAATAGTGGCTGGGATGGGACATAAGAACCATGGTAAAAGTTTTGGCTGTGGACAGAGAGAAAAATTATGGAGAAAGCAGCAGCAAGATTAGAAGACAGAATAAAGGAGCTAGTGAGAAAGCAACATTGAAAGTGAGCCCAAGGTATAGGCCAGCATGGTGGGAAGGATGTGCAACAGCAGTGACAGGAAGTGGACATGCACAGATGGACATGCATGCACACACACCCATGCCACATGGACCTGTATTTCTATTGTACAGAATGAGCAATCTGAGTTACAATTGTCAAAACTCAGACATTGAATTAATGGCAAAGTGAGACAAGAGCCCTGTTTCTGGTTGCCTGAACCACTAGAAGACATTAGCCGTCTCTGGTATTTGTTATAGAGATGCATTTTACCAAAATGCCTTTAAAAGCAGTGTTAATCTTGACTTGTTGTTGATGCTAGCTTATGTTTTTCTGTTATAGCTCCTCTTCTCATGATTTGTCACATTCATGGGATCAGTCAAATCTACATCGCACTTCTGACCAATTCAGCTCCCTAGGAAGTATGGACAGCTGGGACCACACTCCCCAAATGTCCCATTATGGACGGCTTTCCTCTGCAAAGTCTAACAGTAGCATTGATCACTTAGGGAACCAAAGCAAACGGGATTCTGCTTATGGCTCTTTCTCTACAAGTTCCAGTACCCCTGACCATACATTATCCAACACAGATGCATCTTCAACAGAGAACATGCTCTACAGAGTTGGCCACTGGGACATTGCAAAGCATGGAAACAGCAGTGCTGGCCAATTTCTGAATGATAACTGTGTACTAGAGGACAAATCTGGATACTTGCTAGCTCCCAATCAGTTTGAAAATAGCAGGAGCCCTAGAATAGAGGAATATCCTGATTCTAAGCTTTCAGGCTGTGGAAAGTCAAATACTGGACCTGTCTGGTATGTGCCTGATAAGAAGAAGTCATCCTCCCCTCCCCCACCACCTCCACCTCTTCGTAGTGACAGCTTTGCTGCTACCAAAGGCCATGACAAGGCCCATGGTCCTGTATACTCAGAAAGCACCAGCACCCAGCACTTTACAGTTCTGAACCGATCTCAGCCCAGAAGTGACTGGAGCTCAGAAACTACAGAACAACAAAGAAGATCTGCTAGAGCAAGTGAAAGGAGCACAGAGGGAAGGAGGATCAATAGTTCCAACTATAAATCTGATATTGATCTAGACTATACTTTATCTTCTGCTGGTGACAGGTACAACAATAACGCAGGAAATGCTAACAGACTTCAGTCCTCTCTGTCCAGCACAGATGTTCGGTTTGCACAGTCTGCTTACAGTTACCACCACCAGCGCCAATACAGTGATGAAAGCACTTTTTTTCATAATGCAAAAGCCTCAGCTTTGCCTAAGGACCAGCAACATTTTTCCTCTTACAGTGGTGCCCAAGATCTACCTGCTAACCACTTCCATTGTTACAGTCCAAACCAATCCAGATTACTCAGTACTTCCTCCTGTATGAACAGTGCCACTGAGCAGAAAATGGACAACACTGGACAGAGTCGTTATTACTGTGTAACAGCAAAACAGCCTGCTCAGGGAAACTTAAGGCCGCTACAGCTAAAGGATGAATGTTGGAAACCTGAAGCCTGTCCTGGACCACATGACAATCCTGCAATAGTCACAATGGTCCAGAAACCAAAATACTATCTACCTCAACAACCTGTCGAGTCTTCTATAGAAGGGTGCGAGAAGAGCGTTCCCTATTCAGTAGACAGAGGAGGGGATATTAGGCCTGAAGATGCTAGAAAAAATAGCTATCCTGAAAGGGCTGGACAGAATAAAACTTTGGAGAGCAGTTGCAAGGAAAATGACAATAGCTACAATCAGCAGGAATACACAAAGAGCTGTGTTCTTACCACTGAAAACAGGGCTGCCCAGAAAGATTTCAGGTGGGGAAAAGAAGAGAATAGTAAGATTTCTCCTCAGAAGACCCCTATGTTGCATTCCTTAGCTCAGGAAGGGAAAAAACAATCTGACAACTGCCAAGGACCTGGAATCGATAGGGGGCTTCCATTTGATACTCACTTGACTAAACAGGCACGGAGGAGTGATCGCTTTGCAACAACCCTGAGAAATGAGATCCAAATGAGGCGAGCAAAGCTGCAAAAGAGCAAAAGCACTGCTGCCTTAATAGGGTCAAATGAACCAGAGGAGTATAGTGAGAATTGGAAACCAGAATCAGCAGAGACATTGAACACTTCTTCAGATAGATCTTTTACCAGTACCTACAAGGATCACCTAAAGGAGGCCCAGGCTAGAGTCCTGCGGGCTACTTCCTTCAAACGGCGGGACTTGGACCCTAGCCCTGCTGACTATCTCCCCAGGTCACCAGAACGGAAGGCAAATAACTACAACTCTTCCTCGTTGGCTTTGGTTTCTGAAGATGCCTCTGACTTCCTTGAGGCTGCACAAGTTAAACCACACTCTTCAGGGAGTGGCACACATCATATTTCACGCATTGGAGCCAGGAAGAGGTTCACAGCAGAACAAAAACTAAAGTCTTACTCCGAACCAGAGAAAATGAATGAAGTGGGGATGTCGGAGGATAACTGCCATCCTCAGCGCCGTTCAAATACATGCGAGGAAGCCCTTGCCTCTTTTGCAGATAGGTGGAAATTCTTTGAAGAAACAAGCAAACCCACACACCGGAAGTCTGCCCAGAAACAAGCTCCGCACAATCTGTTTGAGGAACAGCCTGGGAAGCCTGATAGAAAAGCTTATGGACATGAGTGTGAGGAATTACAGTATGAAAGAAGATCTCGGGCAGCCTCTTTTGGAATTGAAACTATGCAAATTGCAAAAAATAATACCCATTGTAGTCCCCGTAAGGTAACTGACAAACTCACAAAATCTGAACAGCCTCAGAGACTGGGAACTTTTGCAGAATATCAGGCATCCTGGAAAGAGCAGAGGAAACCTCTAGAGTCAAGGAGTTCAGGAAGGTACCATTCTGCTGATAACATCCTTGATGCAAGCCATGAGCAACGCGAGAAATCCCAGTACTCGCATGAGCGATCCAGATCATCGCCTTCTACTGATTTCTACAAGCAGGTAAGAGACTTGTATTTTCATATTTGTCTTACAGAGTGACAGAGTGGGGAAAAATCATACGTGCAGTTGTACACAGAGTCAGAGTAGAAACAAATGTTTGCCAGCTGTTGACAATGAAATCCTTGTTACAGGTAGCTCACATAAGCAGGGTAAAAAGGATATACAAGGATATAGGAAATATAAAAAGGATGGGAGTGTAGAATGAGAGTTCAGTATAGAGCAAAGAACAATAAGCTAAATTAGTTGCTTCTATTTTGTAGCCAACATGAGTGAAGAGAAAAGACAAGATCATTTTTATCATGTTAGCAGTCTATATCCCATACTTTATACTAGGGATGAAAGCTGATTGGAGGTGGTAATTCCTCACCCAAACTGACACATACTCATCAGTACAGCAGTTATTTTACTGATGCCCTCCTTTCAGAAAATGTACCGTCCTATGGTACTGTAAAACTGAAGTGGTGCTCCAAGGAAATTGGGAGCTAATTTCTTACAAAGGAAATAGACTGATAAACTACTGGTTTCCTGTGTCACTCTCCTTTCTTTTAAATTGATTTGATCCAGGAGGCAGTTATAATAGAAGTTAGAGTACTAGCTCAAAAATCAAGGTTTAAAAAATTATTCATACCGTCTGGGACAGGGACAGACATTTGAAAAGCTTGAGCCTGAATTAATTCAGTCTTTGCAGGCTATAACCTGCATAGATTGAACCGATTTGCAAGTGTACAGACATTCCCTCTAGACTGAGGAAATGCAGGCACATGCCTTCAGTGGCTTAGGCTAGAAGCCAAAGAGGCACTACAGTATCCCTCCCTTCCCATTGACAGTGCTGAGGCGGGGGGGCATGGCCAAGCCCTGGCAGGACACCCTGATTAGGGAGGGGTGTGTATCCCCACCCTGCCTGCACGGTCCCAGGCTTTTTCCCACTTGCTGCTCAAGGGGTGGGAATGTTGCCAGACCCCAGATTGCACTCTTAGGCAAAGCAGAGATGTGCAGAGATGTGTAGTACATGCATCTGTTGATAATACTGACCTTTTCAATCTCCTTCTCCCTGCTTCTTCATACTGTTTGCAAACCTGACAGATGAGGGAGCCAGCAGGGGGCTGAATAACAGTGTTTATCAGCCCATCAACAAAACAAAAGTCTCTTATTAGTTCAAACTCTTAAACAGCTTTTTCCAAGGAAGAAACATAGGGACATTACCAGCTGATCTGTTGATTAGAGCCAAAAAGCCCTAAGTGGATACTTTTGTCTGCCTGTCCCAGTGAAATTGGAGACGTACACACAGAGACACCTCTCATTAGCTAGCATACACATGCCTAGGGTCCATGGGGCTGGGGTCCATGCTGTGGGAGATGGGAGGGAGGGACAGGGGGAATCCCGGTGATGGGGCAGGGGGAAGCGAGGCAGACCCTGCTGTGCCTGCCATCTCCTCTGGAGCCCTGGCAAGGGAACAGAGGGGCAGGGCCAGCCCTGTTCTCTGGAGCAGACAGCACAGCCTAGGGCTGCAAAGCATCTGGGATGCTGGGGGTTCTCGTTTAACTTGAACTAGGAAGGCGTCTGGGACAGACATTCCATAAACTGGTTTGTCCCAAATCAGTTAAGTCTGATACTGCATTTAACTAGGTATATCTTAAACCAGTTTCAACATTTTGAAACTGCTTTATGTGCACTTAAACTTGTAACAGAACATAAACCAGTTTCTGATCACTTAAGCCAGTTTATGTGTAATGTCTGTCCCTAGCCCTGGAAAATGTGGGTGGAACTTCTTTAACATCCTACATGACTGTGTTTGCTTTATTAAAAAAAAAAATCAATCAACCTCCTGAAAGAAGTCAAAGGTTTGTTCAGTCCAAAAGCAGGAAGTCAGTTAATTTTTAACTTTAAAATACAGGGAGAAGGTACAAGTGGCAGGTGAGATCAGTACAATAACCAGTTATCATGAGATCTGTGTTTTAAAGGCACATTTATGCTGCTGAAAGATTGCTAGGCATGTAATGGATTCAGCAGATAACATAGGATTGACTTGACTTAAACTTCTGGTTTTGCAAATACAATTGCTTGGGCTATATAAGAATTATCAGACCATAAGAGATTTATCATATTGCTCCTCCTCCTTTCCTTGCTCTCATTTCCTGTACTCCGGTTACTGTAAAACCATTACAATAGAGACAAAAATCATGCTTTTATTATACAGCTCTTTTGTACAAACTGAATTATACTTCAGGTGAGGGACTATTTAAATCTAAGTTTAAAAAAACTTCTTTTTATATAGATTGAGCTGTGGAGTTAACTGTGTAGATAAGCTACTGAACTGTCAGTTCCAAGAAAAATATTTTTTACGTGTAGAGATTTTATTTATTGAAAAAATCAGAAGTAATGAATTATTCAGATGATCCCATAATATGCATGTATATTTCTCTTTCATTAAACAGTATAGCCAAATACAGTGTAAATGAGTGCTTTACAAGAAAAAATCCTGTTTAGGTACCATCTGATAGCATGTTGATTTAGGATTTGCTGACAAAAAAAGATATATTATTTCAAAGCCATTTTTACATTCTTTGCATGTAAGATTCAGGGTTTTAGTGCTAGAACGCACTTTTATTTCCTGTGGGGTCAAAGTGTCTAATACAGTTTTGCCCTTTGGGTGTGGTTGAAGCTACAGCAATTTTGAAGTGAAACATACACAGGCATTCAAAAGCTAAAACACTAACAAGTCTCCAGTAAGTGTCTTGCCTTAATTTGTTTTTGCCAGATGGAACTCGCAAAGGTTTACAAATGTAACATTTAAGTTTTTCTTGTTTTCAGTAAACTAAATTGGTAACTTGAGCCTAGAGAGATTTGTAGTGATATATAAGAGGTCACATAGCATACTACAATACTTGGAGTCAAAACAACATAAAACATGATATATTACTGACTTCATGTATATTCAAGCAGAGCAAACCCACAAATAAGAGGTTCTATAATGATAGATTTTTTGGAAACTGAAACTTGATGACTTTGTGTCTTACTTGTTATAAACCCTTGGCAGGAAGTCTCGGTTGAAATAAGGAGACAAGCTGAGGATTTGAAGGAAGATGAGGAGTGTGTTTCCTCTAGAAATAACACTGATGAGCAGAACTGCACTGTAAGGTAGGTGTATTTTTGTTTCTGGCTTCCCAAATCTGACATTTTTTATATGAGGGCTACAATGATCTGATCTTTTGCCTAACCCAAAATGTAAGTTGTAGTAATGGCTAACTACCTCTCTCAGTTGAAGGAATGCCATGTTGATCTTACAGAAGGTTGTGCAATGCCTTTTCTTCCTCATTCTCTTCCCACTGAGATTTCTAAAAAGGACTATTGGATCAACTTTCTGAAGAAACTCTAGTGCTTCATTTATTACTTATTCTTTAGGGCCAACAAATTCTTAGTAACCGACTGCAGGGAAAGACTGAGTTTTAATATTATTCATCAATTAAATTGCTTGTAACAAGAAAGAAATGTCTGAGGTTTCCCAAAGGAGTGTTTCAGCATTACACTTGGCGACTACTGTATGTAACTGGAACACAGGATTACAATAAATCAGACTGTCTTTAAGCATCAAAGAACTAAATGAAATTCAGAAAAAATACTATTTTGTTCATCAGTCAATTCCACTTTTAAATGAATTAATAGGAGAGAAACTCTACCATTTCTTTTAAACTTCTTCAAATATTGATCATTTGTGTTTACACAGTGTAACTAGAACCCTTGTCTGTCTAGGACAAAGTCCCCTAATTCTGATGTGGAGTTTCTGGATGGTATTGTAATAAAGCAAATAAATAATAATAATTGAAACCACATCTATTGAAATGCACTTGGCAGCTAAATTTAGATTAACCACATACTTTTATCAACAGGCTTTGCCTAGTGAGGTTTTTTTTGGTGGGTGGGGAGGAAGGTTTGTTGTTTGTTTGTTTTTTTTGGGGGGGGGTTGCATGTTAAGAATAAAAGTGAATTTTTAAAAACGTTTCTACTGGTTTTCCTTATTGTATGTATTAAAAAAATAAATCTCTAATTGGCAGAAATGATCTCCCATTCTGAAGGATTCAAATTATTGCAATAATATTTAGAATATATAATGTAATATATGACTTCATGCTTAAAATATTCAGTAATTAATTTAAAGCATTTATTAAATGCTTATTCTTGTAAATTTTTCTTCTTAACCATTCTACTGTTTTAAATAATCTGCTATGTTGTTTAGATTCTGTGTAGCCTTTGCTATTGTACAGCTGATTCTTTGTATTATACAGCTGATTTCAAAATGAACAAGCATGTATGATGTAAGAGAAGAAAGGGGAAAGTAGGAGAGGAAGCCTGGAGCAGATATGCCTGTGTAGGCAGGCAGTATCTCTATGCAACTGAAATGATTTCCATCTAGCATCACTTTAATCATAGTCACAAAAGCATGTGAATAATACACCTACGTCCACATTTTAACAGTGTCTGTTAAGCACAATTGCAGCTTTATAGCTGTGGAATCTATGAAAATCACATGACTGGGCAGCAGCTGTAATACTTTTGTTTTAAAGCTGTAGTTTGTTTTCACATGTCATTGCAAATACATTATTTGGCCATTTCACCACGTTGCAGGAAAAGGTTTTGTGAAGCGGTTTGTTTCATGGTCTTTGGTCTGATATCAAGGCTATTTAAAGTATGCAAAGGATGTGCATGGGTTTTATATAAATACCCCTCATATAGATGCTTAATTCCTGTGCTGCGTATGGCCACTTAATGATAATGAATGACTGTAATGTTGAAACCATGCACATGCACGTGTGTTGTATGCCTGTTTTAAATGGAGTTGCTATAATGTAAATCCTAACAGAAAAGGGAATTAAACTTATTTAGCATGATTTAGTGTTGTGTTGATTTCCTCTGAAGAAATTGATTTAGTATTTTTCCCAAATTTGCACTTTGCAAATAATGTTTTGCTGCTTTGGCTAATGCTTACTAAATTATAGAACATTAATATTAACCATACTAACTATAGAAAAATGGTTAGCTTGTTGGCTTATTTAATAATTTATGTTCTACTTGTAAAAATTTCATTTGTGATGGACCTGATCCTTTGTCACTGAAGTAAAAGACAAAGCTTTATTATTCACTTTAGTAGACATGGGACCAAGTACTAAATCTTTAAATGGCTTAGATTTTGGGTGACTGGAACATCTGGTAAATTTTTATTTTTATTTTTGGGGGGGGCAAGGATCAGTACTGAAATATTCTGTGTTGCATAAACTAATAGAAAAATAATGGCCTCCTATTGGAAGCCTCCTTGAGTAATAAATTATTTGTTGTATTAAATTAGAAGTGCAAAAAGCATCTGGCCTTGAGGGCCAAACAGATAGTGTTGGACTGGTCCATGGACCATCCCAGCCCCACATTCTAGCACACATCTTTAAGCAGCCAAAGTGGGTTTTGTCATCTCCAGGGCTGGGCTGCATTGCCCTGGAGCTGCCATTGGCACTCCCAAGCTGTACTGCCTGGCCCTGAAGCATGTAGCATGGCCTTGGAGTAGCCTGCAGCTTCTCTGGGGCTGTGCTGCTTTTGGTGGCTGCTCTGTTGTTCTGGGAGGCAAGCTGGAGCAGGTGCTGCACACAGGGCCATCCGGTGTGCCCCGCATAGTGCCTGCATATTGCTTTGAGATATGGGTAGCACTGGGTGCTAGATGGTGTGAGTCCATGTGCAGAATCCAGCCCACAGGCCATATCTTTGACATCCCTGTTTTAAATGAATCTATGTACTGTATTGACCTGATTTATTATGTGTGTCATATGTGCTTTCGGAAGTGGTGGTGTATTTATGAGTCTTCCTCTTGCCTGGTCTCTGACATGATAAAAGCAGCAAAATGTTTGAAGCCAGGCAGTG